ATTACATTATACGTAAATTTGAAATGTAGTTCGTTCTTTGCCATTTAATGGCTTTCCAAGTGAGGGATCGTCAGTTGTAAATCATATCTCTGAATCTTGGGCTATTCATCGTGACCATCAAGAAGCATCAAGACAAGAAGACGATGTTTTGCTCCACCAAGAGCACGAGGTTGAAGGTCTGATCATGTTTGTTATCCCAAATTAAACCATATTCTAACTTCCATAAGGTCGCGTTTAAATTGGATTTTTACGATGTCAAGGCTTATGTGTTTTAAATTCGTCACAGACCCAATCAATGCAGAATATTGGAGCATAGGTGACCCGTCACACAGTTGTGCGAAATGTGGGGCATTGTTTTGGTATGAAGAAAGAATTGTTAGTATTTCCACAAAAAAAGACCCGAAGTATTCTTTGTGTTGCAGTCATGGGAAAATTAAACTACCCAAATTAAAGGACCCGCCTTTGGAACTACAACAGTTGATTCATGGGACAGATGCACTTTCTAGGCACTTCCAGGAAAACATTCGTTCGTACAACAGCATGTTTTCGTTCACTTCAATGGGAGGAAAGGTAGATAGAACACTTAACAAGGGTGGATCACCACCAATCTTTAAACTGAGTGGACAAAACTATCACCTCATTGGGAGTTTGCTGCCTCAGGAAGGAAGTGTGCCGAAATTTGCACAACTGTATATATATGACACCCAACATGAAGATATTAATCGTTTGAACTCAGTGAGGTAAATGCATTTACCTTCAAACTCAATAATATATGTAATCACGCACACATGTTGTCAGGTATGAATATATGGTATTTTTTATGTCATATGGTATTTATGATGTTATATGGTTAAATCATTTTAGGGATGATGAAAAGAAGAACAATTTGCATGCGCATATTGTATGTACATTAAGGAAAATGTTAGACCAACACAATGTTTTAGTTAAGTCTTTTAGGATGGTGAGGGATAAAGTTGCTGAGGGTGGGGAAAAAAAAGTTTCTCTAAAGTTAATAGGGAGGAGAACCAAAGATGCTAGAACTTATAATTTACCCACAGTTTCTGAGGTCGCAGCATTGGTGGTGGGTGATTTTGATGAATCACTTGGACAAAGAGACATCATGGTTGAAACTCAAGGAGGGTATTTGAAAAGAATAAATGAGCTAAATCCAGCGTATTTGGGATTGCAATATCCGCTTTTGTTTCCATATGGCGAGGACGGATACAGGGAGGATATAGCCTTTTCTGATGAGAATTCGTCAAACACGGGTGGTCGACGGAGTGTTAGCATTAGAGAGTTTCTTGCTTATAAATTGCATGAACGAGCAAACGAGGACTCTTTCATGTTTAAGAGTAGGAGACTATTCCAACAATTCACAGTTGATGGTTACACAATGGTCGAGTCATCAAGGATAATGTTTATTAGAACCCATCAAAAAGAACTGAGGTGTGAAATGTACAAAGGCCTATCAGATGCTTTGCTAAGCGGTGAGAGGGATGCCTCGACACAGGGTAAGCGAGTTGTCCTACCACCGACTTTCGTTGGGGGCGCTCGATACATGGTTCAAAATTATCAGGACGCCATGACTATATGCCGGTGGGCAAGGTACCCAGATCTATTTTTGACTTTCACGTGTAACCCGAGATGGCCTGAAATTAATGAATTCCTTTCTTCAAGGAATTTGAATCCCGAAGATCGTCCAGATATAATTTGTCGAGTGTTTAAGATGAAGTTGAATGACTTGATCAGATACATAAGACAAGGTCAGATATTTGGACAAATTCGAGCAGGTATATTGAATATCACGTGTGTAGCTTTGTATAAATACACATGTATATATGTTTGTTTGTGTGTGTAATAAAATAATAATTGTTATGTTGACTCCTTGCAGTGATTTACACGATTGAATTCCAAAAGCGTGGGTTGCCGCATGCTCATATTCTATTGTTCATGGGTCAGGCAGACAAATTCCCCACCCCAGCAGACATTGACCGCATAATTTCAGCTGAAATACCTGATGAGGGGGCTGATCCTGATTATTTTAAAGCTGTGTGCACACATATGATGCACGGACCGTGTGGCAGTGATGCAAGGAACGCCCCTTGCATGGTTCAGTCCAAATGTTCAAAGCACTTCCCAAAGAACTTCAATGAGCAAACTAACGTTGATGAAGAGGGTTATCCTAAATATAGGAGGCGGAATGATGGCAGAACAATTGTCAAAGGAAAAACACCACTTGACAATAGATATGTTGTGCCCCACAACAGAACATTATTGATGAGGTACGGTGCTCATCTTAATGTGGAGTGGTGCAATCAATCGAGGTCAATAAAATATTTGTTCAAATACGTGAACAAAGGAAACGACCGTGTCACAGCAGGATTTTATGAAACAGTAAGCAAAGATGACACTGAGAAACCCGTTGATGAAATAAAAATGTACTATGATTGTCGGTATATTTCTCCATGCGAGGCAGCGTGGAGAATTTTTAGTTTCGGAATTCAGTATAAGAATCCAAGTGTTGAACGTTTGAGCTTTCACTTCCGTGACGAGCAGTATGTTTATTTTGAAGATGGAGCAACGGTAAGTGAGGTCGTGTTGCGAGAATCTGTTAAGGAGAGTATGTTTCTTGCATGGATGAGAGCAAATGTCAAGTACCCCGAGGCAAGGGATTTAACTTATGCTGAATTCCCTCAAAAGTTTGTCTGGATACCCAAAACAAGAGAATGGCAACCTCGGAAGCAGGGGTTTGCAATAGGGCGTCTAATGTATGTGCCTCCGGGATCAGGAGAAGCTTTTTATTTGCGATGTGTCCTTAATTTGAGACGTGGGGCTACAAGCTATGATGATCTTAGAACTGTGGATGGAATTACTCATAATACATACCGCGATGTGTGTTTCGCGTTAGGGTTGTTGGACGATGACAAGGAGTACGTTGATGGATTCTCAGAAGGTAGTTATTGGGCTACTGCATGGTTACTCAGAAAGTTGTTTGTGATTTTATTAGCAGCTGATACAATGAGTAGACCAGAACATGTGTGGGATAAATGTTGGACATTTATGTCAGATGACATTCTACACAGGCAAAGAAGAGCCTTAATGCATCCAGGTACTAAACAGTTCATATATTACACATGCATATATCTTTACAAACAAATACGTGTGTGTGTGTATATATATATTAATATTAATATTCAAAACCATACATAATATATTATACATGTTATTTGATATTACCGTTTTGATGCATCTAATATCAGATTTAAAGTTGACCGAGGCTGAGATTAAGAATTACGCATTGACTGAAATAGAAATGATGCTAAAGAGAATTGGTAAGAGTTTAAAGGACTATCCATCGATGCCATTTCCAACAATAAGTGATGCTGCCATGTATCAGAACAGGCTTATTTTTGACGAGTTACAGTACGATCGTGCTGCCCTGCGTGAAGAGCACGACAGATGCATGCAGAGCCTCAACGATGAACAACGTCAAGTGTACACAACCATTATGCAATCTGTTGAACAAAATAATGGTGGGGTGTTCTTTGTATATGGTTATGGGGGTACAGGGAAAACGTTTGTGTGGAAGACATTGTCGGCTGCTTTGAGGTCCAAAGGAGAGATTGTTTTAAATGTTGCTTCGAGTGGCATAGCAGCTTTGTTGTTACCGGGTGGTAGGACGGCGCATTCACGCTTTGCAATACCAATTAACCCGAATGAAAACTCCACATGCAACATCAAACAAGGTAGTCCACTGGCTCAATTGATAATTCGATGCAAGCTGATCATATGGGATGAGGCGCCGATGATGCACAAGTATTGCTTCGAAGCCTTAGATAGAAGTTTGCGGGACATCTTGAGATTCACTAATTCAAATAGTGCTGAAAAACCCTTTGGAGGGAAAACAGTGGTCTTCGGGGGAGACTTCAGACAAATCTTACCTGTCATTACAAAAGGTACTAGACAAGACATTGTGAATGCCACGATTAATTCTTCCTATATTTGGCATGAATGCTTGGTATTGCGTTTGACAAAGAACATGAGGTTGCAATCATTGACTGATGATCGTGAGTACGAAGATTTGCTTGAGTTTGCTAAGTGGATTGCGAGGCTAGGGGACGGGATTGCTGGGGAAGATAATGATGGTTTTGCAAATGTTCAGATTCCAAACGAGTTCTTGCTAGAGTGTGGCGGTGACCCCATTGCCACTATTGTCCAGAGCACCTACCCAAACTTTGAGAGTATTGTGAATGACCCGACTTACTTGCAAGAGCGTGCAATTTTAGCTCCAACCCTTGATGTTGTCGATGCAATTAATGAATATATGACTTCGATGAATGTTAATGAAGAGTCAAGGACATATCTAAGTTCAGATAGCATTTGCAAGTCAGACTCGAATGCTGATTTTCTGGCTGATTTGCACACTCCAGAGTTTCTAAACAAAATACGTGCATCTGGGGTTCCGAACCATAAGTTAACCCTAAAGGTTGGTACTCCAATAATGCTTTTAAGGAATATTGATCCTTCCATGGGGCTTTGCAATGGAACAAGGTTAATTGTTACACGACTTGGAAATCATATCTTAGGGGCAAAAATTATGGGCGGAAAATATGCCGGGCATGAAGTTGTCATTCCGAGGTTAAGCTTGACTCCTTCGGATTCAAGAATACCGTTCAAGTTTCAGAGAAGACAATTTCCGGTCATGACATCCTATGCGATGACAATAAATAAAAGTCAGGGACAATCTTTGTCTCATGTTGGACTTTTACTGAAAAAGTCGGTCTTCACGCATGGTCAGTTGTATGTTGCAGTGTCAAGGGTAACAAATCCTAAGGGTCTGAAAATATTAATCTGCGATGAAGATGGCCAATCAACTAATCATACCACCAATGTAGTTTATAAGGAAGTTTTTCGTAATGTGTAGATTGTGAAATCCTGTTAACGTTTACTGTTTCCTACTTATCCCAAAACATACTTACTGCCAATCTCTGAGTTTTCGCGTTCCGATCTTTAATTATAATTTAGTATTCGTGTTAAGAATATGACATTTTGCTTTCATTTCACACAATATATATCATTTACAAATTATGTCGTATCGCTATTACATTATAATATCCCGCGCATCGCGCGGGTGAAAATCTAGTTTCCTCAAAAATAAAAGAATTTGGAAAGGTACGAGTTTTTATTAGGTCCCATGCTCCCACTACGAGAAAGAAGAAAGCCACGTTTTCTCTCTCATACACTGATCATGGGTCAAAACAAATCAACTCTTCCTGACTTTATCATCTCTTTTTAGTGGGCTGACAAACATTTCCAGATCTCTCTCCGCCTGATCTTCCATGTCCGAAACTCAGCAACGATTCCGCGGCGTCCGGCAACGCCGTATGGGATGGACCGCCGAAATTCGCCACCCTCTTCTGCGAGTCTTCTTCTCTCTTCTTTTTATTGTGTTTTTGTTCTCTAAATATAGTAATTTCTCTTAGTTTGGAAAAACTGCCGTATTTTAAAAACTCGATAATGACCCCTTATCAGCGTTTATCAATATACTCTGTTTTTGTGGTCGCAGGAAGAACAAAATATGCATAGGAACATACAAAAAAGCAGAGGACGCGGCGAGGGCGTACGACGAAGCTGCGAGGCTGATACACGGAGAAAAGGCGAAACAGAATTTCCCTTACGAAGCCGCTAGTGATGATTCGGAATCATCTACGTCAGTGAAGTTCCTTTCTGCTAAACTGATTGCTAAAATTCAAAGGTGTCAAAAGGCATCGGTCGATCTCGCTAAAAGTCTCGCCGGTGCGTCCCGCGGCCAAAAGTATCTATCTCCGACGGCGGTTAGTAGCGGAGTTGGAGTTGCCGAGAAGAAGAACGAGCGAAACGGCAGCATCGATCCGCCGGAGAGTTCAGTGGGATGTCAAGGTCGCTGACTCGCATGTGTGTGGACAAGAATTGATCAAGGCTTAGGCTCGTCTATTGGATGTTTATCACTTTATTGCATAAAAAACTGTTTAAACTCACCCTTGCTCACTTTTATACATGTCTGTGTAAATATGTCTTGTAAATTATTCTGATTGACGGACAAAAAAATATCCTTCACAAACATGGTGGGTATAAGAAGTTAAGGTATTTTGTCTGTGTATCACGAGCGTTAAGCTATTTTTAGTTATGCCACTGTTACGTCATTCACCCTTTTGGATTTTTTTCCTGTGTAGTATCGACTATTAAAAACGACACTTTTCGTAAATGACAGAAAATTTTGAAGAAAAATATTAAAAATGTTTCTAGCACAATAGTCGAGAGTTAAATGTGAAAAAAAATAAAAATTGAATGCTAGAAATGTCATTGACACAATGATCGGGAAATGTCAATTACACAATAATCGAAGACTGAAAGTGACAATAATTTCAATTATAAGGTAGAATAGTTGTTTGATCTTAGGGTATTTTCATCCTTAGTTTTTATTACTACGTACTATGACTTCGTGATTGCTTGTTTTACCCCTTTTGTGGGATGTAGGGGTGGTTCGGTATCGATCCGCCGGAGAGTTCAGTGGGATGTCAAGGTCGCTGACTCGCATCTGTGTGGACAAGAATTGATCAAGGCTTAGGCTCGTCTATTGCATTCTTGATGTTTATCACTTTATTGCATAAAAAAACTGTTTAAACTCACCCTAATGGTCACTTTTATATGAGTTTTTTTTATCACACACAAAAAGTCACAAAATATGTAAATGTAAATAATTTTGTCCGTGAATCAGATTCACGGATAAAAAAAATACCCTTCACAAACATGATGGGTACAAGAAGAAGTTAAGCTATTTTGTCTGTGTGTCACGAGCGTTAAGCTATTTCTAGTTGTGCCACTGTTACGTCATTCACCCTTTTGGACTTTTTTCTTGCGTAGTATCGACTATTAAAAACGACACTTTTTTCTTGCGTATTAAAATGTTTCTAGCACAATAGTCGAGAGCTAAAAGTGAAAAAATAAAAATCGAATGCTAGAAATGTCATTGATACAATAATCGGGAAATGTCAATTACACAATGATGGAGTATATGGCCCAGGAACCCCCGGCCCATAGACTCCTAATTCTCCTACACAAGTCCATTAAGCCCAGGAAACAACTCAGGCCCAAATACAATGGCCCAAGCCTCAACGTAGCCCAGAATACGCACTGGGGTGCCTTCGGCCTCCTTGGCCGAAGGCTCCAAACCTCACAGGGTAGCCTTCTCTGGCATAAGAGGCTACTGGGAGAAACGGCGAAAAACATGAGCCTTCGGCATTATCGAGCCCTCGGCATCAGAGAAGCCCCCGGCTAAACCATGCCTCCGGTCACACAGTGCCTTCGGCTACACGGGGACCCTCGGCTACATGGAGCCCTCGGCAACACAAGGAGCCCTCGGCCAAGCACATTCAATCATCGAAGATTCCCTTTAGAGACAGCCAACCACCGCATTTAATGCCACGTCACATCCGCCAACCGCATTCAATGCGGTAAACGTACCACTGCCGGTGCCAACCGGTTGATGTGACCCTTCGGCCGTTGGATTACTGACACGTGTCCTCTCATCGCATTTATTGCTGCTATAAATAGCAGCCCATTTCTCCTTGTAAAACATCATCTACACCTCAACTCCACACGCTGAGTTCATTTAATAAATCGACTCTCTCTCCTCCTATTTGCTCTGACTTCTCTCTAAGTTATTCCCGCAATAACCCCTCGGATAAGATACCCCCCGGGTAGACCATCCATCATTTGGTGCTCTCGTTGAGAGGTCTGAACTATCAAGTAAGAAACCCTCCCCCTCTACCAAACACAAACCCTCACCAAAAATGGGAAGGACCACCCGTGCCCAATCCAAGACCCTTGAGGAAAACTACGTAGCCCCCGGCGAAACTAACGGGGCTGAGGCCTCCAACAGGCTCCTAGTGCCCGAGGGTGGTGTCATCCTCGAATTGGAACAAGCCACCGCTGACCTACGTCAGCAGCTGCAGAAGAACACCCCCGATGCCCGCATTGGCCTTGATAATCGAAGGAGGGATCGGAGTGAGAACCAAGTTCCTCCTCCGGCCTCGGCCATCGATCTTCAGGCTGCCTTTGCGGCCTTTGTTCAAAACATGGCTCTCAATTCTGGAGCCCTCGCCTCTCAGGCACCCCTCCAGCCCTACGCTGGAGGAAATGTTATTCAATTACCACCACTCCCCCCTCTGTTCAACAATCCTCCCCCGGGGATTGGAAACGCCGAAGGGGTCATGGCGCAGGACACCGCCTCCCAAGAGGCCCAATCCAGGGATAAACGTCCCTTGATGAAGGAGAAACCCCGAACCTCTGCGCTTGAGAGGCTTGGGGGAGCTCCCATACGCCGAGGGGTCCAAGACCGCCTCGGCAAACAGGAATTCAGCAGGCCTCAGGAGAGCGGAGCCTCCGCTTCGGGAGCCGAGGGCATACCTCCGCCCCGAAGCAAGGGCAAAGCCATCCTCCATGCCGATGACGCCAGACACCAGATCAATCAGGCGCAGTCCTTCCGGGCCAACTCCCAAGGGGTTGCTCCGAAGGACCCCAAGGACGAAATCATTGAGGCCCTCCTCCGGCAGCTCGAGGAGAATCGTCAGGCACCCCCGACGGCTTCCACAGCAAGGCCGGATCCTGAGTACGCCGACCTCCGGGCGCAGGTGGAGGAAATGAAGCGTAAGCTTGCCGAAGGCTCAGGCGAGCCCCCCATTCAACTCCGTACTAGAACACCCTTCACCCCAAGGGTGTTGGCGGCCAAAATCCCCCACAAATATCGGGGGCAACCCATCAAGCCGTATGAGGGGAAGACGGATCCCCAGGAGCACTATAGCCGCTATCAAAACAGCATGATGATGATGGGGGCATCGGATGAATACTTATGCCGTTGGTTCCTTTCCACCTTGGAGGGACCCGCGTATGAGTGGTTCAACCGATTGCCCGAAGGCAGCATTGATTCGTGGCAAGAACTTGCCCACCGCTTCCTCACACAGTTTGCCGGGAGGCACCGCTCAAAGAAACACTTCTCCCACCTTCTGAATGTGAGACAACAGAAGGAGGAAACCCTTCGGAGTTTCCTAGAACGCTGGAGGCAGGCCTCCCTCGAGGTCGAGGGCGCCGATGACAGGACCCTGATGGCCCTCTTCCACACCGTCCTCCGCAATGGTAACTTCTCCCGGAGCCTTATCACTGATCCCCCCCGCGATTATACAAAGGCCCTTCAGCGGGGGGACCGATACGCTGAAGCGGAGGAAATCGAGAAGGACCGCCGCAACACGGACCCCTCTCAGAAGAATGAAGGCAGGAATCGGCCCGGAGGGCCTCCCCCTCCGACCAACCGAGAGCCACAGTACAACGATCGCTCCCGAGGTGGCCAAGCCAGACCCGGGGGCGGTTACAAGAATAATCCGAAGGCATGGGCGCAACCCGTCCTCCTTGAGCACCCACGCACTCCCTTGACGCATCCCGTCAGCGTCATTCTTGACCATGCAGAAGAGCGGGGGCTCGTTGAGCGAGACTCCCGTACACCCCTCGAGATTTATGCCATCGGTCCTGATGAGCCCTACTGCCGCTTCCACCGCCACCATGGACACAAAACCGACGATTGCCATCAGCTGAAGAACGCCATCGAGAGGCTGATACAGGCGGGCCACTTGTCTCAATTTATCAGGGGCCCTCTTCCCCAGGGCCCCCTTCACCATCAAGGGCCTCCGCCGAAGGCCAACAAATGGGTGAACCCCAACACCATCCCCTTGGGAAACCCACAGGGGAAGAAGCGAGAAATTGGGGGCCTCGATGATGAGGGAGAGGGCTCCCATCAACAATACAAGCGCCATATTCATATGATCAACGGCGGCAACACCGGAGGCGATTCAACAAGCCAAAGGAAGAAGTGGGCACAGTCCCTTTACATTGGGGAAGTCAGTCACATGCCCCCAACTAAGAGACCGAGGGGGGAACCCATCTTCTTCACAGATGCGGACCTCCCCTCGGGTTCTCTGCCGCATAGGGATGCCCTCGTCATCCGCACTGAGATCAACGACGCCATCATCCACCGGACTTACGTCGACACGGGGAGTTCTGTCAACGTCATGTATCTCAGCACTTTCCAAGAGCTGGGACTCGATAGGGGGTCCCTTCGACACATCAACACCCCCCTCTCCGGATTTACGGGGGACAGCATAGACGCCGAGGGCGTCATCACCCTCATGGTTGAATTCGGCGACGGATCCCATAGAGCCAAGCTCGAAGTGGAGTTCGTCGTCGTCAACCTCGACTGCGCACACAACATCATCCTCGGCCGGCCTGCCCTCGAGGACTTGGAGGCTGTCATCTCCATGAGGCACCTCTGCCTCAAGTTCCCCACGCCTAACGGCATCGGTTACTCGAGGGGGAATCAGAAACTCTCCAGAGCTTGCTACCTTCAGCTTACCAAGAAGGTTAGCAAAACTGAATTTCGAGTTGACACCATCACCACCAAGGCCCTAGAGGAAGAAGAAGGCAGGCCGAGGGCTGAGCCTGCCGAGGAGACCGAAGACTTGATACTCGATCCAGCCAAGCCGGAGAGAGTCCTGAAGATTGGAGCCAAGCTCCCCGAAGACTTGAAGGCTGGCATCACCAAGGCCCTCCGCGCCTACTCCATTGTTTTTGCGTGGGGGCCGGAGGATATGCCAGGAATTGACCGAAGGGTTATCACCCACCGCCTGGCGGTGGACCCTTCGGCCAGACCGGTGCAGCAACGAAGAAGGCCCCTCTCGGCCGAGAGAAGGGAGTTCGTGAAGAAGGAGGTATCTATGCTCCTCTCCATCAAACACATTAAGGAGGTGAAATACCCTTCTTGGTTGGCAAACGTAGTCCTCGCACAGAAGCCTCCTACCTTCCGCATGTGCGTGGACTACACTGACCTGAATAAGGCGTGCCCTATGGACCCCTTCCCTCTGCCAAACATTGATCAACTGGTGGATGAGACCGCGGGATGCGAGATCATGTCATTCCTCGACGCGTTCCGCGGATATCATCAAATCTACATGCATGAGGAAGACGCTGAAAAAACCGCCTTCATGACACCCGAAGGTATCTTCTGCTACCTTGTGATGGCCTTCGGCCTCAAAAATTCAGGCGCCACCTACACACGCATGGTGGCTAGGGTCTTTCAAGCTGTCCTAGGACGCACCATGGAGGCTTACGTTGACGATATGATCGTCAAAAGTAAGGAGGCAAGCACTCACGCCGACGA